GACTTCTACAACATCAAAGTATGGTCTAAAGATTTTGACTTAAGCTTAATATGTTTCATGATCCCGGGACCTGGATTCCAAAATTCCATTAAAATCCTTACAAACAAAGGTACATAGCGGGTTCCAGTAAATGTTCTACCAAACTTCTTTCTTTACTTCTCACTAAAATATTTACAGCAGTGAAGGAGAAACTTCAGGAGTACCGTGCAACAGTACTCAGTATATTCGAGAAATGGTGTAAATCAGATGTGTATATTTAAAACCTTCAAGGAACTTTTAGAAAAGTTGAAATCAGAAAATTTTAACAAAATCAATAACATCAAAACGTGCAACCTTTCAACACTTCATACAACCATTCCCCACGATAAATTAAAGTCCAGGCTTTTTGACACCATAGACAGCTGCTTTTTCAATAAAAATGGAACTCGTAAATATACTTACCTTGTCATTGGTCATTTGCAAAATTTTTTTGTTAAAAAGCATTCTGATTGTACACACAAGTACTCTGTGAAGTTAATATCAAAACGATGCTTGAGTTTCTGATTCACAATATGTATGTAGTTTTTGCAAAATTCTTTTGTTAAAAAGCATTCTGATTGTACACACATGAACTCAGAAGTTGATATTAAAAAGATGCTTGAATTTCCGATTGACAATATCTATGTGGTTTTTGGAGACCAGGTCTTCCAACAATCTGTTGGAATTCCCATGAGTACCAATTGCACCCCGTTGTTAGCAGACTATTTTTGTATTCATATGAAGCAGAATTTATTCAAAATCTACATGAGAAAAAGAAATCTCTTGCTGTGGCCTTCAACTCGACATTTAGATGCATCGACGACGGAGCTTGAGATAAAATATACCACAGAGTCTGACACATATCTTTCATATTTGGATATTCTACTAGAAAAAGACGTTACTAGTAACCTAACAACCAAGTTTTATGATGACTTTAATTTTCAATCGTCAACTTTCCTTACTTATGCAGCAATATACCCTTATCACCTGCATATGGGGTGTATACATATATCTCTCGGTTGATTCGATACGCAAGAGCATGCAAGTTATTGACAAAGAAGTTGATGAACAAGAATATCAACAGTCTCATTTAAGTCATCATTTCATAAGTTCTATGGTCGATACAATGATCTTGTCAGCATATACAATCTATCATTAAGTCTATTTTCGACGGATTTGTCCCGATCATGACAAGGAGCACACGGCGGGTGTGACAGGTCGGCAGGGGGTGCTCACTCCTCCATGAGACCTGATCCCACCTCTGATGATTTTGGAGTTACGTGTTTGCTCTGCTCCCGTTTTGTATTGTTTTGGAGCTTGAATACTGTTCATTATCTCTATATTTCATTTTTGGAGATCAGGTGATATGAAATATGGAGATAACGAAAAGTATTCAAGCTCAAAGTCCATTTAAACAATACAAAAAAAGCCCTCGGAAAAATCCTTCGTCAATTTAGTGTGTAAATAATGGCCTAACAATCAGTATGAAAAACCCCAGTTAGAATTTGACTTAATGATAGGTTAACTTGTATTTGCTGACAAGGTCATTGTACCGACCATAAAACTTGAGAAATGATGACTTCAAACGATACTGTTGTTTGTCAATAGTTTGCCTCGTTTTAGAAATTGTTCATACTTAGAGCATGCTCTTCCCTATCGAATCATCTTTGAGACAAAAGTCCCATAAGGAGGTTCTGCAGACAACTTTAAATATATGGGTCATTGTTTAGAAATGAAATAATGTAAAGGATTACAATAATTAGTGACCATGTTATTAAATGGGTTATATATCTGATACAAAAAAATTGTCAGAATCACTAAAAATAACCAAGGCATCGATTAAAACAGGATGACTTTTTATATTTTATAAAATTTAACACCCTGTTGAAACTAGATCCTCCACTCTGCATCTAACAAGACATACCGAAAGATAACAGCAACATCACTGTGCTTGGAAAGAAAAAGAACAACAGTAAAAGATGTAGGTAAAGATCATGAACAAGGTCCAAGCAACATCACCAACCATAAATCTGGCCAAAAAATTAATATGCTGCCTTGTGGTAGTGAAATAATAAAGGACTTTAAAGGTGATTTGTACACAAAATTTTCAAGCCCCACCAAAAATCACCAGGATATCCTTGACCTAGGTTTTCTTGAGAGAAAACCTCTTCATGTAAAGAATGATGGCATAAAAACATGCTGATTAGATGCCTTATGTTTGATCGAACATTACATTACCGGTATATCGTCTTCCTTGTGTTCAAACTTCCCCAGTTTATTTCTTTGAAAAACGCCCTTTTAATTTATCATTACATAAAAAGAAAAAAAAATCTTTCATTATATCTATTTACAATGAATTCAGTTTACATGAACAATTTAAATAATAAATGATAAGTATCAATGCGATAATAATTACTTCAATTTGACATAAAAATCCCCACATCTTTTACATGGAACATTCCAAAGATGTTGTCAATACTTACACTGTATAGATATAAGTAACTAATGAAATAAGCACGGAAGGAACTTTATGTGGCGATGATTAATCAACAGTATAATTGTCTACAATACTGTAACAAACATCTGTATTATACAACAGCAAGGGAGAGGGCGGCGAAAATTACAACGATCGATCGGAACTTAGTTCCTATCATTGAAAGAAAATATATAGTAAAATTCCCCGACTTGGTGTCCTTTTTTTTTAGTAAAATTACTAATCTCCACACATTGTGGAGCATAATCATAATATTTCTTTTCTTTTTTCTCCATTACATTATTACATGTATTAATGTTGTTTGTTCTTTTTCTTATCTGTTTGTTCTTTTTTTAATTTTCAAGTGAAAAAAAAAATTACACCATTTTATTGATTCACTATTTAGTATAAATTCTTATAAATTCTAATTGTGATTTCTTGAATGTTTGGAATATCACTTTTTATGGAGAGGTCTCGTGGTGTCGCCCTATTTCTGAAATTAAGCTACTGGAATTTTACAACTTAATTATTGTATTATTAACTTTGAACCAATGCCTTATTTGTATGGCACATCATCTTTTGTGACGTGAAATATACATCAAAATACTTTTTCTTGACATTTTTCTAAAAGATTGACACACACACTGATCAGAAATTGATCTTCGCTGTAATTTACGACTTCATATGAAATATAGTTCGTGAAGTTATTTATTTTACCTTGTTCTATTTAAATAAGTCTTTTAATGTCAAATTATTTTTCGGTGTGGTACAGTTATATCATAACAGCAGTCTTGCATACTTTAGCCTGTTACATTCCACACCTGTCGGACAGGTAGCGTGATTAGCGATAGGTAAAATAGGACATTAATTATCTACGTTGGACATTTAATAAGATTTTGGACGTCTAGACGAGACGATGTAACCACAGAACTCGAGTAACAAGCCTGTTACCTCTTATTACAGGGTTAGTCTTCAGACCTGGGTCCTATTATACCTGAACACTCGTACCCAATAGTCTCTAGAATTCATAAGAGTATTTCAGAAATGTCAATAACAGTTCTTCTACAAGTGGTCTTGAGTCGGAAGGCCTTGCCAAATTGATTTCGTCGCTTAACATTCTCAAATTTCGATGGATAAATAATACAAGGGAAATAGATATGGTCATATAAAACGCCTATGCCTATATAAAATGACAATGGTATCATTGATTAAAGTACATTGATGTTTAGATATCATCTAGAAATAAAAGAGAAGTCTGATATTTATATTGACTATAAAGTAAACGTTATTTAATTGAGTACGCCTAATTTCACTTTAACAGAGGTATTGTATTTACTTTCTGTAGCTCTAGCTTTGACTTTAGTAATTGTAAACATTTGTGATATTTGAAATAGGCAAAAAGTAATGGTAATCTCAGACAGCTTCCATCGAGTTTGAAATATATGTTACTGATACATTTTGTAACTTGAAAGGGTCACCTGAAAAAGAAAATTCTGAGGAAAAGTTAATCATAGTGCGGTAAGGCAATAAACCTTTTTAACCATCACACCCATTTTCTTTACACGAGTTAACAATAGTTTGATCACTATCTATGTTTGTAAGATTTAATGTTAGGTTTGGCTGTGGTGTGTATTGTAATAATTTACCTTCCTCTTCGGTTGTTCACGGCTGACCTTGGCTCAGTGCCCCTTTGTCTGTAAGTATCAAGTTTCGGGGGACATCTACGGATTTTGGCTACCCTAGGAAATGGTGCTCCTCCACTCCGCCTGAATGTCGCGCGCCATTACTAATACCATTATTGCCAATTACAGATTATGAAATATTATATCCATCTATTCTTTTAATGTATTATTTCATTTTAGACACGATGGCGGGTACAAGATATTTTGCAAGAGTTTTTATTTAAAATTAATTAAATATACCCCATCTAAATAATACGTACTTAATTGATATACATATTTCTGGAGAAAAACAGGCGGATGCGTGCCAATATTTTAGCAATAAACAATATTTGTTGTAATTGTGAAGCTATTTAACTCTAACTATAATATTTTTCATACTATGGAAAAATTTATGTATAAGTTTACTCAATAATTTTTTAAACAAAATATGCAAGTGATAAACACGTATGAAATAATAAAGAAAATCAAATGGACATCAGGATTTATTTTATTAGACTTGACCATTTTTGATAAATATTTTCAAATCCAAATCAAATGAATAAATCACAACAATATAAGGAAGTAATCAGCTGGTAATTTTTCAAAGAAAAAATTATATCATTAATTATTAAAACATGGCGTATCAATAATAGTCAGTTTTCACCAATGCCTAAAAATAATTTTTAGAATACCCTTCATTATTGATAGAAATGGAACAGAATTATAAAGAATCCACTGTGACCAACCACGAATTCCGTTTGTGTCACGTGACCCGTGGGTTTTACAGGTAAGTATATAGGAAATGTGTATTTCATCTTAAGCATATAAGGCATTAAACCCTCGACAGGTAAACATCAGAAGACCTGCTACAGGGGATTTTAATTACCTGACTTCATTAAGTAAGGTGTTTTACTACAGCAGTGACTAGAAATGGAGAGTAATTACTTATCTGTGCCGGATGACCACTATTCTGCAGCTATTGACTTTTCCAATGCATGCAGGGAATTTTACATCAACAGAAAGAAAGCAACGGAAAGTTTTAAGGAACAGATGAAAGAGGAAGAGAAATCAAAACAGGAAAAGGCGCTGCAGAAGAAGAGGTCATCCATAGATGTAGCGATGGAAACTCTTAGGAAAGAAATGGTAAGTGCTACAAATAATTAAATTTGATCGTTATAACCGTGCAATTTAATATGCATTACTTTCTTCCACTTAAAATGTGCAAACCCCATATCTTTGTGTCTACGAATACAAACAATTTAGAACTCGGCTAAAAGTGTCGAAAAGTTAAAACAAAACCATTTTCTATCGCATTCTCTATTGAAGTTATTTATATGGATTATTAATGCTAAAACTGGGAATAACATCTTCCCGCGTAATGATTAATCCATCTGTTGGGTATGAGATAGCACTTTTTCTGTCCCATGTGTTTAAAAGAAAACCTGACACCCTGTTGCTCGCGATGATATAGGTATTCTGTATAACAAAACATCTAGCTTGGTCTGGTAGACATGGATAAAAGAAAGATTTGTAAGACTTACTACAGGATGGAAGATAGTGTGGAATTTCTAAACACTCGAACAAATAAAAAGACAGAAAACATATTACACCTCTTAAAGCCAATAGTAAATTATCTACGACAATCTGTTGAGATAAAAATCTGAACAAGTTTTAAGCTTAAATATCATCAGTAGTAAAATCTATTCCAAAAATTGCATGATGTTAATTAAATGCAGTTTTGATCACATGCAGAGAAAAACACTATTTGTAACACGGCTGAAATCATGAAAAATATTTGACTAAATGATTCTGTTCCTTTTTTTGATCAGGCCTCTTTAATGGACCAAGATCTGTGTTTGATGAAACAGTTACTGACTCTGAATGAGACGATAGAAGACATCAAAACACGCAGATGGTACAGCGCTAGCCAGAACTCACTCCAGGCTAGCTCAGTAAACCTTAGGGGCAGTGATGACTCGCTCTCAGAAACCGACATGTACGCTCCGGACGAAGGCATTTTGGACCTCAAGGAATCAACTCTCACCGTACCAAAAATTCACATCGAATCGGTTGATTCAGTGAAATCTATTGACGATGTTAAGGATAATTCTGTGCAAAAATCAAAATTTTTGGACACTCAGATGGTATTGAATGGAAAATCAATTCATGTTATGCACGGAGCACAGAGTTCTGTAGACTCGGGTTATGGAGAATGTGACTTTATGTATCAGAAGGACATAGAAGTGACTTTATAATTGTAGTGACCAGTGTATTGAACATTAGGCCGACTGTCAGACCCAGACACATTTACAGCTACTGTTATGTAACGCCCTCATAATCTTCATGACGGAATCTAATCTCGCTGCCTCCTGTGTTCTCTTCACAGACGGGCCACTTAAGTCTCCACTTCTATTATGTAAGTATTATATAAATACTTTATATGTTAATATTCGACTCATTTTTTTTTATCAAAAGAAAGTAAGCTATTTAATATTTTTAGTTTTTTTTTTAAAATAATAAACTAATTAATAAAATATAATGGTAATGGGTTTTAAGGCGTACTGCATTCCAGTGCTAAATATTACTTTTTTTTTTTTTTTATTTTTTCAGATTTTGACTTTATGCCATATAAGAGTCATGTCGGCCATGTGGACTACTTTTTGCCCGTGTCCAGTTGTGAAATTTACAAATATAACTGTCCGCTGTGAACTGAGAATAACTTTGCAATGAGTGATTCATCAATATTCATAAAAGTTGAGCCAGTATTATACAACTTATTCTAGTCAATTTCTCATTCATGCCAAAAGAGAATTCTTAATAAAACACGTAATTTTATGACGCATTGTTGTTTTATTCTGTTCTAGAACAAAATAGTCCTCCAAGGACGTACATTTTTATAACATTACTAAAAGTGCATCAATTAAAATATGTAAATTAAGGGAAATGTGGCTAAAAAATATTTCAACATGCGCACGATTTTTTCCATTTATATATATACGAGAACTTTGCTCTCTGGAATTGAAGTCAGTGCATTAACCCAAAGCAAGTGTCTTTGTTTAACGGTCTTTTTAATACCTAATGGATTTTTCCTCTCAATTTCCATCTCAATGCTGATTGATACAGCGAAGTAGTACTCGAGTCTTTGAAAGTGTCGTCAAAAATCCATTAAATAAATTTTGAGTTGAAATTGCTACTCTTAGATAAATGCATGTTACCCCCTGGAGGGAATGACACTTTTCTAATGTGACGTGTATTTTACAAATCAAAACTGAGATTTTCTGTTTATAGGATCTAAATAAAGCAATCAATAACATTAACCAAGCTATGATGGTTTTCCTACTCAGCACTGAGATATCAGTACAACTTATTCATGTATGCTGTCCGGATAAAAAAGTAGATGTGTGTGATAGGTATTGAAAGTATTAATTATCATTTTAAAAAAATAGATAAGAATTTTGTTGATTATTAGTCAATAAAGAAGTAAAGTGAAATAGAACGTTTTGAAGCTCATTATAATTTTTAATTTTATGTAATCAGTCTAACTCTTAATAAAGTTTATTTACCTAGTTAGTAAATTGTCCTTTGTGTTGTGACAAAAAGTACTATAAAATCTGCAGTTTAACTTTGAACCCTGTATTATTTTGAAGGATCATCAATATAACATCACAGTAATCAGATTTACAGTGGTGGGTGTGATTATGGGTACGATCATACCTGGTCATTAATGACAATAGTCTACTGTGACGTGAGTGAAATTAATAAATCCTTCTCGAGTATGAATGAAATATTTAAAAGGTTTACGGTAAATTCAATCCTTTGTTCATCTTAATTATGCGGTTTTAAAGGGATGGGATAGACAGTGTTTATGGTATGTTCAAGTGATTCAATGTTAAAAAGAAGAGTACCTCAAGATAAACTTTTTAAAATTATTCACCAGAAAAATTCGCAGCATGTATAAACCCGAGATTTGTTATAGTCGTAAGCCTGAGGGAGATTTATAACAGTCTATATCATACAGGACAGCAAATGCTACAAATTTGAATGAAACTGTCATCCAAATATTTAAATCGAGTTAGAATATCTTTCAACTGCACTGTCAACACAGATTGGAACAGTTTTATCTGTAGATATAGAGGGCTATTTTGACGTTATACTGCAGTGAAGAGGTCTCATTATCATTCTGCAAGTAGAGAAAAAGGAGCGATCGATGGGGCGGAGAGACGCATTACTTAATACTTCTACTTGTAAAGCACATGCTTCTCCGAGCGTGAATCATTCCCGCGTATGCAACTTCTGTAAATAAGGAATTCCTCTATCTAAATTTTTTTAGATCAAACAAAAAAGAAACAAATGAAGATACCAACAAATTATACAACCGTCAAAACACACTTCACTGAAAACGTTATTCCAAAAAGCGTGATTAGCATTTATTTAACACATGTATTGTGCGCATGTCAATGTACGATTTAAAAATGGAAATCATATTGGTGTTGTGTAAAGTGTTCATTACTACATTACTAATACTATTATTTATCTAATATATTAATCAAAATAACAAAAGTTGCTTCTAATATGATGAATTGCATTTTGAACAGTCCTCATGTAAATGTATATATACGTCATCATAATTGTGGAGGGAAATTTGTCAGAACATTAAAACAGCTGGTGTAAATCAAAGGTTACACGCATTAAAGAAACAGTTAATAATTAATAATTGGGACTCTTTACACATATTTCTAGCCCGTCAGATACGAGGTACGTCCCTTGCGGATATAGAATTTGTCATGTCATCCTAACACCGCGCGCCCCGCTCTCACGGCAGCCTTGGAATTCACGGACATTTGTAGGTAATTATCAAATATTAATTACCGCCTTGTTTATCCTTCGGGTAATAATTCTGCATCTTAAACGAGTACTCAAAACATGTCAATGCAAACATACATATGCTTTGTTTTGTTATATATATATATATATATATATATATATATATATATATATATATATATATATATATATATATATATATATATATATATATATATATATATATATAAGATATTTTAATAAAGTTTACTCATTGGAAAGGGACTAAAGCTTTATCCATTCAGAAGGGGGTATGCCGCAGAAATAGGTTACCGCTTGAAGGTATCAAATCAGCGATATTTTTACTCAAGGTTCACGTCAAAACATGGCCAAAGCAAAATAATTCCTCATTTTTTCCCTCGGATTTGACCGATTCCGTAGGGAATGAGATTATAGGGTTTTTTCTGAGGTGAAAAACAACATGTTGGCTGTCTGATATAACCAGATGTAAAGGAGTCTTGTAGATTTTTTGGCTATGTCGTATTTAAAGAAGTGGTACGTGGTTAGGTCCGGCATCTGAACACTGACCACATTCCTCTCTCCTTAAATATATTCACCCTAAAAGACACCAAACCAGGTTTCTGCTTGGTTTGAACATATTTTGTTGTTAAGAAGTCTAAACAAAAGGATCGGACACAAGTTCTTTAAACTTAGAACGCTCTCTCCTTCCATGGTAAGTCTTTCACCTATCGTATTGAGGACCGGTCTGTCGCCATTTCCCCCATCCTGTTACAAAGTGAAATTAAACAAGAATAGATATGGGTTACCCCATATCCAAGATATTCGACTTTTAATTTATTCGAATTTTCATTGTGCTCAGATGATTTCTAATTTAAAAAAAAACTATTTACTGATAAAACGTCAGAGATACTCAAGCTGTAGAAAGTCAACTAAACAATGGCCATAAATAACCTAAAATGACATAATATTTAGGCTACTGAGTTTCAACATCTTTTGTTGAATAAAATATGCATGTACTAAGGAAACTGCATGTACATACATGTATATAACGTTACATGCGATTAGTGACTTTTATTATCACAGCGTTGCAGATGCCTATAGAAATAGTTTTAATTTCACATAGAACATAGACTAAATATAATTAACCGTATAATTTTGAAGATGTATTTAACAGCTCACTCATTTTGAGGAATATTTAATCACAATAGCATGTTACAGGACTGTAGCAACGTTTTCAAAGTGAAGGGGGGGGGGACTCCGAAAAAATCCCGCGTACTATGGGCCTGTGCTACATGTGTACCATCTAACTTTCCAATGATAGAATCTTCTGTAACAAGAACAGATATGGGTTACCCCATATCCAAAATATTCGACTTTTAATTTATTCGAATTTTCATTATGCTCAGATGATTTCTAATTAAAAAAAAACTATTTACTGATAAAACGTCAGAGATACTCAAGCTGTAGAAAGTCAACTATACAATGGCCATAAATATCCTAAAATGACATAATATTTAGGCTACTGAGTTTCAACATCTTTTGTTGATTAAAATATGCATGTACTAAGGAAACTGCATGTACATATATAACGTTACATGCGTGTAGTGACTTATTATCACAACGTTGCAGATGCCTAAAAAAATAGTTTTAATTTCCCATAGAACATAGACTAAATATAATTAACCGTATAATTTTAAAGATGTATTTAACAGCTCACTCATTTTCAGGAATATTTTAATCCAAATAGCATATTACAGGCCTGTAGCAAGGTTTTCAAAGTGAAAGGGGGGGGGGGGCTCCGAAAAAATCCCGCGTACTATGGGCCTGTGCTACATGTGTACCATCTAACTTTCCAATGATAGAATCTTCTGTAAAAATTCGAAACAAGTCCAAGCAAAGATCAAAGATAGCCCAATTTTTTAAATAGCAAAACTATACATCTATCAAAGATAGATTTTAATTTATTTTTTAATTTTGTGCTATTAAAGTACTATCACTCAAAGTATAGGCAGATGTTAAAGATGGGTCAACAAGAGTAATCAATGAACTCGTCTAGAGATGCATTGACGGCCGTTGTTAAACGCAAAGTAAAGCGCGAGATCGGTTGCGGCTGTGGAGCGTCACTGAACATTCCTTCGTCATAGAATAAAATCCGACATTTAACACTTTATATAGACTTTGAATATAGAGACGTTTTGAAGATAAACTACATTTTTGTTTCTAGAAATGTTTTTATTTACAAAAATAGTATATTTTCGTGTTTATAAACTGAGTAGATCAATGACCTAGCATCGTTTTAGATAACTCAGCCCCTCTAGCCTAGTCTAGGGCTTGAGTAAAAAACCTGCACTTGTTATGAAACTGGTGTATAGTTCTTCCTCATGTCCGTAGCAAATACTGATACCCATTCTACATGATCTAAGCGTCGCTAGCGAACGGTGCACATACCTGTGCTTGCAAGACCAAATAGACTAGATTTACACACGTGCGAAGATCCTTTCAGACGAGCTCGGCAAATCACGTTGCTTTGCCGAGAAGTTACGATTGCAGGTGTTTAACCATAATATCCATTCCGTTATTTAAAAAAAAAAGAGAAAAAAAACACACACAGTTAATGATTAACATTCTCACTCAAAAGAAAATATAGGGCAATTAACGAACAATAATCATGACAGGTATATAATTGGTGAAAAGATTTATCACTATCAATCGAAGGATGACCTATATATTTTCGTGAAAAAGACTGAGGAGGCAGCGAGCGTAGGAATATGAAAACTTTTTATTTCCTTTTCTGGGGAAAAGTGATTTTCTTAAAATCATTTTACGTTAATTTTGTTTTCTTTAACGAATTAAATATACATCATTATTCTTAACATTTGTTGTAATGTTGTATCTACTGATCATGAATGGAACTATTTTCTTCGGAGCAATTGTGTGAAGAGTACCTGACTTTAGTAATATATCTTGAATAGATAATATGCACTGATCGAATATATTAAAAAGCTGTGGAT